CAGGAGAGGTGACAGAGTTTGACAGAGGTGAGAGAGTTTGAGGAGGTGGCAGGATAGGTGACAGGGTTTGGCAGAGTTCAGTGGGAGCTACAGGAGAGGTGATAGAGTTTGACAGAGGTGACAGGGTTTGAGGGGGTGGCAGGGCAGGTGACAGGGTTTGCCAGAGGTCACAGTTTGGGAGGAGTTAGAGGACAGGTGGCAGGGTTTGATAGGAGTGACAGGGTTTGGCAGGTAGATAACAGGATGATTTCTGACAGATTGGGACATGGAGGGATGGCTGAGGATCGCTGGCTTCACCTGGCCCCAGTGAATCCACTGAATGGTGTTTTGCCTTGACTTTTTAATGATGTCAGATTCCTTTCTGCAGGAGGGAGTTAAGAGACAGCATACAGATAAAATACTTGGTTTGGCAGGTAAAAGAAAACCAGCTAGCAAGCAACACACTTAGTCTTTAGACTTTTTATTCTTCTTTTCAAGCACTGAAGATAAGATTATAATTGCCCTGGTGTAGCCAATAAATGTTTTCTTGTTTCCTATGAGGTACAATAACAGTGAAAACATTTATTTAAATGATTAATTGTTTAAGCTGTACATCAGTAACGTACTCTAAGAATATCAACCAGCTTTTTGAAAAGAATGTGATTAACCTTAATAAGTTTTTCTCTGAAGCTAAATTTAAAAATGTGTGGCAAGAGACAGTTAAAAAACATAACGAGGAGATTCAGCATAGCTAACGTTGATTTTTGTGTATCTGCATTGGTTTTGGAGTATTTTCTGCAAAGTTGAACTAAGTAGTCAGTCTAGATTTGCAGGTCCCTATTAAAGCATGGCTGCATTAGCCACTTAGTGTCTTCAAGAGAAAAAAATAAGTCTTAAGTTTGTATTAAGTTTTCAGATACAACGTTTTTTATGCACTACAGTATATGGTGACAATGCCTCCTTAAGGATGAATTACCAGAAAAGTTCACTTACCTAGTGGCCAAAATGTAGGAGTCGTAATAAATATGTATTTATCATGTAACTGAAGTGTGTGCCCTTGTATGACAAAGGACTGCTTGCCCATTCACATAACTCAGGCATCCAGCATAGAAGAGGGAACAGTCACACGGTAGGTGCACATGTAGCCCCCCAAAAGGCTCAGAAAGTCGATTTGACTCACCCCAGTGGAAGATAGGGTGCTGAGGAGGTGCTTGTGCAATTGGGGTCTCGATAAGAAAGGTGTGGCCTCTCAAGGCTGGTTAACTGGTCTATTGCATAAAAAATAGGTGCAGTGGAAAACGTGATAGCAGCCTTATGTTCCCTCTGATGCTGAGGACCCCAACCATTGCAGCAGGAGAGAAGCCCCTTGGCATTGATCCGCATGCTGCACAGATCCAGGCTGTGGCAAGGTTCACACTCGTGTTCTTCAGAGCTTTGGTAAAATTTCTTTTTGGAAGTAAACAACTATTCATTTCTGCAGCAAAGTAAAGGAATGTTACATGTAGATACGCTCAAGACAGGACAAAGAATGTGGATGATGTAATTGACTTGTTCATGTACTGACTCGGAGACGTGTACAGGCATCTCTGTTACAGTCAGGCAGCCAAGTTCATCCAGCAGTCACCGAGGTAAGGTGAAAACGCTGCATTCTCATGCGGAACGCGTTAAAGGCAGTTGTGGTGTGTGCTCAGGTTATGTAATGTCACTCATGCTGATAATACAGGCCTCTGCAATTAAAGCCTGTGGTTAAACTTTGCCCTGATACTGCTTCAAATCAGTGTCTCCTCATTACAGTGTCTTCTGCAGTGACCTGCTACAGGTGCCCTTGTTACACTGTGCTGACTTTAGAGGGTTTTTTAATGTGCTTCTACACTGGAAACTTGCTTCTTTCCTTGCTCAGATTTGTGCTGCACTTCAGATTATAGAGCCTTAATATTTTTACATCTCTAGAGTTTTTAATCAGAAAGCGTTTAATTTGCTGTGATTTGGTGATGTTCTGGTGCCAGACAACATTCTGTTGCAAAAAAGTTGTCTATATAGATTCAAGAGTTGTGGCTGTATGGTAAATCTTAATATGGCCTAGCTCCAGGCTGCTGCTGCCCCCTGCCCTCAGCCTCTCGTTTTGGCCAGATTATTTCTGTGGCCTCACAGTTTTAGACACGGGAATTTTCATTCAGATCAGATGCCGAACAGCTCAATGTGCAACTGTGAATTTCAGAGCCAGCGTGAGGAAGGCACAGTAAAAAGTAGTTGGGGAGACAAGGCAGGGTGGAACTAGCCTTTCCACCCTCTGCTTGGACTTGACTTTTGTTTCTAGTGGTATGTAATGATGGCTGGACTGCTACTAGAAATTAATTACAAGGGTTCTGCCTTGCTAACCACCTTTTTTGCAAAGCTAAGACAGTATCTCTATTTGTTGTGCATAATTAATCCGCTAAAATGATGTTTAAGATGTGCATTACACTACATGCTTATGTTCTCGTGATTAACCTTAGACTTAGTAATTTCTCTTTACGTGTACTGTAGCACTTGATACCATAAACAATTTCTACTTTTCATTGGTTACTAATCTTTTTTACACTACTTTATTAGTACTGCTGCAGAAATTTTATATATGAATATAACAATATTATTATTATACCAGTAAGAATAATACTTGAAACTAATAATTACACAACTTTTTAACAAATATGTCTAATTTTAGTGTATTGTTTCTTATGCTAATCAGGTGATGGCCTTCTATTTATGCTAGGCTGCACTTTAAGCTTCTTACTTATGCTAAACCTTAGCCTTATTGTTTAACTAGCAGAATGTCTATTAGTGTGTGGAGTAGTCCTTTTAATAAGGTCATTATTTTTAAGGTCTCCAAACCTAACAGAAAGTGCATTTATTAAGGTGTTTCTGCTACTTGATGGTACCTGCTGCTTGTCTGCTGCTTATTGGCATGCCTCCATGCCCCAGAAGAGAAATTAGCACTCCAAAGGTCACATGCACAAGAGCATCATATTGAAAATATTTAGAAACATTCTTTTAATTTTTTTTTCTCAAAATATATCTTATATTAGCTTCTGTTTACTGAAGTTATTGTTCCCAAGATGAGAAATGACCAGCTACACATGCAACCCTAGCCAATGCAGTCTTAAGGCCAGCATATTGAGGTATGCTTTATTTGTGGTTGGTTTACATAATTATGCTTGGTTGAAAATTGTCAGTGTAGGAGTTGCAGGGTCTGCCAAAAAGAGTGGGTGCCTGGCAGCGACTATGCTTGCTGGAGAGGTGGAGGAGGCAGCTGGGGCAGATAACAGCCTTAGCTGTCATACGTGTAGGAGACTGCTGTTACAAATCTCTTAGCGCCCTGGCAGGTGTTTTAAGTTGATTTGTTAATGCCCAGGCATGAGCTCAGAAAAGAGAGACTTTCTGCCATGAAAAATGAGACTCTCAGAGCACAGAAATGCAGCATTAGATGTAAAGTTGTGTTGATTAAGATGGTCGCTACATGATTAAGAAGCGTGCTGCACACGTAAGTTGTCACAAGACTATTATGGTTAGGTATATAATATATGTAGATATTAGATTTGATTGTTGCATGTGTTGTTAATAGGTAGCTCCTGTGTCACAGGTATCATTAACAGGTGACCAGCCCATTGCAGACTAATGCATTACCTGACCTGTCAGCATTTTGGAAAACTAAGGTCTTACAAAGGTAACAGAACATTTGCACATGGACACATCTGCATGAAAAAGAACTGAGGACAGAAGTAGAAAATCAGTTTTAAAACAGAGCTTCTTTTATGGTCTTACTATGAGTATGAATTATCCGGCCCTAAAGAATGCAGGAAGATGTATCTGTTTTGTTGTTTACCGTTAAACCTATTTTAGTATCTGTTCTTCTGGTTCATTTCTTCTGATGTGTCCCACTTTTAATATCTGTTCTTCTATTCTGTTTCATATGACATAACTTAGTATAAGCTGCACAGGATTCATGGTTTCTTTCATTAAGTTAGACTGGGATAAAATCTGTCTACCAGCTGAATGCATTATAGTCTTCACTTAAAACATCTTAGTTATTGCTGTGTGTATCTGGATCACATAAAAGTACAGAAGTCAACTACAGTAGAGAGAGTTACTATGCCATTACAGTAGCTGCTCTGAGTTTACTAGTGGGGTGAGTTAATGGAAAAAGGTTGATTGTACAAAAGCAAAATGTTTTGTAGGACAGTACTGTTTTCTTTGAAACTTTGGATAGGATTTTAGAAACAGAAGTTGGCCTAGGGAATCTAATTCAGATAGCTGTGATCAAGATAATAGAGCCTCCAATTCAAAGAACTCCTTCAGTTTATGGACTCATGTTAAGTTTCTATCAAGACAGTGAGGAGTCACCCTTTCTCCCCCAATTCAACTCCCTCCATTTTAGTTTGGCTGTAGTGTAATCCTTTTTAAAGTCTTGCTATTTCCTAGGTAACTGAGCATTACCTTTTCAGGTATCTCTGGATGTTGGTTAGCTTCAGTCTAGTATATGTTCCTCATGTACCTAGGGGCTTTGAGTTTTGATAATAAAATCTCCTTTCAGAGAGTTGCAATTCCTTCCTTAAGCACCACCAGTTGTCTGCTAGCATATTAACGATTGGTGATTACTCTGAAGGTCAGGATGCTCAGAAGCTATTCATAAACTCTTCCCGGAGTTGCTTGAGTGTTTCAGTAAACCTGTGATTGTAATTTAAAGTTGTAGATGTTGGAACATTAACATTTTATGTATCCTATGATACACTAAAATGCCTTAGGACTCTTAAAAAAATAGGATTGCATGATTAGTGTCCCCCTGTAGTACTCAATATTGCGTGAGTAAATACTCTTCTGTATATTTGACCTTGAAAAGCATTATTTCAAATGTTCCACTTGGGTACTGTTCCACATATATATGGATAATACTGATCTCTGGTTTATTTTTGCTTAAGCAAAGTTCTTCATGTTTTCTCCCCAAGAGCTCTGTTCCATCTGGAGTCTTAGCAACATATTCTTACTGAAATGATTCCTTGTTGTTGCGTTCACACTGACAAAATTCTGGGATTTCAGATCCCGTCTTAAAGCATCGCCCAACTTTCTGTGATATTAGTAGGCCTATTAATATTTGTTTCTGCTTAGTCCTTCCTTTTCAGATAAATACTTAAGCCCTGTGTGTCTTTGAGATTTGTTTGCAAGTTCTCATGCAGCAGTATCTCATGATGGAAACTCAAGTCAAGTTTCAGTACCTGGCAGAGGAAACAGATTGCATGGAGTAGGGAAATAATTTTGACTGTGAATACAAAAAAATGTCCAGGGAGCAGGATGTTTATGATATATGGAAAATGCAGCATATGTTGGCATTACTGTTATTGCAAAATCTCTAGCTCAGTGTATCTGATAACCTGTTTCCTTCAGGTTGATAAATCAGTCTGACAGATAAGAGCGTAGGGGCAAGAAGGCCTAAAATACTGCTATTAAAAAAAAGCAAACAATGGCAATACTGAGTCAAACCAATCAATGTCTCTGATTGTGTTAGGATTTCAACCAGCTGTGTGAGTACCTTCCTTATCCCAGAGCAGCTTAATTTCTTGAAGAACCATTGCTGTGAGGCTTTTTGAACACTTCATAAATATCGAAGTGGGTTCACTTTCCTCTATATATTATTTTCCATGTGTCCATGTATTTTGCCTGATCTGCATTATAAAACCACCAACTTGTTGATCTGTGATTTCCAGGACCCTACTAAGACAGAAGAATTTCTGCCTCAGGTGGCAATCCTCTGTGATCAGATCTAGTTTTAAGCACAGGGTTAAAAAAGTTGAGCACCGAGTTACATGGCATAGTTCATATTAAAAGAGTGCTATAAACTAGGCAGTGAACAAAACATTACATCTGAAAATATCTCCTTAATGTTTTTAACTGAGATGAAAAGAGATATCCCTCTCTGGAACTAACTGTGCCAGCTACAGATTTTACTTCCTACTGAGTGGAGGCTTAGCTGCTGGAAAGGCCTTTCTTAGGGCTTGTGAATATGCTACCAACAAACTCATTTTGTGAGCTGGGTTGGTTATTGCAGTGAATGAGGCTACAATTTTTGCCTAGAGTTGATTGGGGAGCACTTGCACAGAAGGATCAGCTGATTGACCCCAAAGGGCAGTAACTGAATTGGTGGTAGTGTGGAACAGCTGGAACTGACAAGGTTTGAAGGCAGCACAGCTGGATGTGGAAGATGACATCTTCTGGCTTGATTGTTCTAGTTTTAATATGTAATTCTTTTTCTTTGACTGTACTGTAACTTTCCTTTATTTCAGATGCCTTCGATGTCTGACAAAGAATCTTTCCAGATATGCTGCAGATATTAAGTCATTGCCACCCAACATAAAGGATAAATTGATTACATTAATGAGTAGGCAAGGGCAAATAACTGATTCAAACATCGGTGAGGTAAGAACCCGTTCAAAACTATTCTGTCTGTGATAGTTAATACACAAGGATGAACTAAACTAAAACTGTTTACATGAGACAACAGATAAATTCAGACCTGCTTACTCTGTCCATGTCTATATGGTTTTTTTCCTTAAACTTCATAATGTTAATAGTCCTTAGTAGTAGTAATAAAATTATGTTTGTAATGAAAAGTCAGGTAAAAACATTCTCCCTTCAGTGATAATTGACTTCTGTGTGATTAACTGACATATATTACCCCTTTTCAGTATGGGAAACTAGACTGTGTTGTAAACCAGTCTCTATTCCTGAATGTGTTATGTTTCAAGAAACTAGTGCATAATTTAGTAATGAAAAGATTTCAGGAACTCGTTAGGTTTCTGTTATGTTTTATTGACGTTATGCACATGATCGCTATATAAGTTATTTAAATCTGTATTCTTTGAAATACGATGATGCTAGGGCTAGAAGTTAATAGTTCCAAATTCTTTCATCCCTTTTGCTTACTGATGTGCGTTAGTGAAACCAGTTAATGACTTTTTTTTAGCTGTGAATTCAGGGGCATATCTATTTTGGTGTCTATCTACTGTTATCTTGTTTAGCCTCAAAGGGAGGTGTGAGAATTGAGGAAAGCTAAAGGTTGGCCTTGGTGAAATAGAAAATGAGTGACTCCCTGTTCATTCCTGCTTTGACCTGTGACTTGAAAGAGGGGAATAGTATCAGTTTCTCACAGTCGGAATAGTGAAGCCAAGACTGGAGGCAGAATCAGAAGTACAGTGGAAAATTTGTGAACAAAACAAATTATCTTTAGTATGCACCACTTTTTGATTGTACAAAATATCGCTGAGTAAAAAACAGAGTCTTATTCATTTATCTCATTTTGGGAAATCTGAGTTGACAAAATTTGGTTTAGGCTGTCTTTTCAAAGCATGCTAAGAGATGCATATAATTAAAACCATATGATTGTATGTGCAAATGCACAAAACCTATTAGGATATCTTTAGTCTGGAAAGAAACTAGAGAGTTTAAGTTTTAATCTTTCCTCTGGCTCTTTGCAACTTCTCATCTGTCTTTGTCTTCATTCAGCATTTTATTGGTGCATTCTCTTGGAGCCTGTTTTCTATCTGACACTGGGATATTCTGTTCTGCTTCTCTTTCTCATTCGTTTTTCCTCTCTCTGTTCCTACCATTTCCTGCAATTCTACCCTTAGCTGTCATCACTTTTCTTGGACATGTTATACCTTAGCCTTCTTTGCTAATATTTCTGGGTTTATCTCATTTGCATTAAAAAAAAATGGTAACCATGTCTTGGATTCTGAATTAGTGCTGTTTTTTCATACCATTTAGCTCTTCAGTTTTCCTGCTCTTTCATCTTGTAGATATTCTTGTTGCTTAGCATAGCAAAAATGGCTTCTGCTGTTTAGCTCTTCTTACGATTCCTTGCTCACGTCATGTGCAACAGAAGTATTCTAGATGGCACATTTGCAACATCTCAATTACTCTTCCATATGGATAAGGAATTTTTTCTTTGCTGCTGCTTCCCTCCTGCCCCTTTCTTTCGTAGTCTCCACAGTATTGTGGCTAGATCTATTCTCTTGCGATTTTCCAGGCTATGCTATGTAATTTGCTTTTATGCATGTCCTTTCTTTGGTGGTGTTTAAGCATTTTGCTTAAAGTTAAATTTCCTGCAGTTGAAATTCTGTTAACATGCACTGATGTATAACCTTCTATTTCATCTCTTACCTCCCTGTTCTTGCACAGATTTCTGTTATGCATTTTTTTCCTTACTCTGCTTTTTGCTTGGAGCAGCCTTCCATGACACACTTGCTAAACTCCTTATTTCAGCTCACTTTTACCATAGAGATCTACAAAGCCATTCAGCATGTGTCCACAGGATACAAGTCTGTACTTTACCTTCTTTACTCTGCATCCAAACAATCCTTACACTGTCTGAAATGTCATCATCTTTGAGGCAGATTAGATTTTAGTATATATATTCAGTGAATATGAGTCTGCTTATAATGATAGAAAGCAGACTTCTAACTAATACCTGAGCGTGTGTGTTGACGGAGTCGCAAACATGACGAGAAAAACTTATCTATGCAGCAGCAGATAAGCAGGCACTTCTTTATTTGTAGCACTGGGGAACACAGAGGGTGGTTCCTCTGATTGTGTTCCAAAGTCTATACATTTTTACAACTCATTTATACATCTTTAACAAAGCGATTTCACAAGATTATACAAGTATGCATAAAATGTCCACTTTTTAATTTGCCCTTTATCATGACTGGTTCCCCACTACCACAGTATCCTGTACAAGGTATTGATCTACTGTAAAGCCCACTTCCACCTAATTTCTTGGCATGCAGAAGCGAGAAAAGAAGAGTTATTACCTAACCCTTGCCTTATTACATCTATCTTATGTTTGGTATGTGCCTGGGAGACCATGGTACCAGGAGTCCAGCCTCTCCTCTTGGACCCGGAATACCATCAGCATTTTTACCACCCTAGAAGCTCCTCTTTTCTCTGGCACTCCCTGGTACATACCTTCTCTAAGCACTCATGCACATATGTTTTTAATTTTAACTTTGCAGTTTGCAGTTTAAGTGAATACCTACTTTAACCACTTTAATCAATAAAAATGTTTTCTCAACTACAACATGTGAAGGATCCCGTGCTGGGGAAGCTTAATACTCCAGCTACTTTAAGTAGGTAGCATTCTGATAGTACTGTTGCTTTTCATTTAGACTTCCTTGCATCTAATGCTTCTTTTTCTCCTAGGATTTCTCTTGTGAGTTCAAAACCAGCAGTTTGCTCACTTTTGTTGTGTCCTGGGCAATTTGGAATTGTGAAAGAAAGCTAGCAGCTGGGGAAAGCATCTTGAATAAATATTGATGGTCATTTTGGCTCTAAGCACATCTTCTCTGGGTTTGGGGTTTGGCTGTTTTAGTTCCTTAGATATGAGTTCAGAAATAGGAGTGAAATAAGATCTGAATGTTATCCTGTGAAAACGACTCAAAAATGTTTTGTGGGGTATGTCAGTGGTTTCGTGGTAAAAAGAGACATATTTGAGGCTTTTAGCATTTGGAGAGAAAAAGCTGTCAAAGCTGAGGGCTACCATTCATTTTGCAGAAAGGTTGCAATTATAATCGACTAGAAGTTTTGGGTGGTTTTGGATTTTTTTCAAAAGACTTATTTGTCTTTGTCTGTAAAGATTTTAGTATCTCATATATTTGCAAAACAGAAAAACAGTATTCCTTGTAAAATCTTTATTATTCCTGTTAGAGAGGTGAACCTGAGAAAGGAATAGGCCTTTAACAAATCTGTCAGCTATGCTTTCATCTTTGCTTGTGTATGGAAATTTATTGTATGCTTTTATCTGTGTGAGTTAAGGAAGGGAATGGTGAGTTGAAAGGAGTAATATGAGGTAATGTGAAAACCTGATCTTATGCTTGCTTGTTGGTCTGAAGGACAGCTCAGCAAAGGTGTAGATTATTTGCGCAAGAGGGGGCTAGAAACAGTATTTATTAAAAAGTACTGAGAATCCTTGAAAATTAAATTGGAGGTAAGATACATGGCTGTTGTTACTAAAATCTGAGGCTTTCCATTGCTTTGGGGCTAAATTTCATAAATGCCCTCATGGGGAAGATTTTACAACCTATGGTCCTGTGGGAGTGAAAGAGCCCCCATTTAATGGGGATTTGGTACCTCCTTGTAGTATGATAATGAGATTGCTTGTCTATGAGAAAAACTGTATGTGTGTGTAGGTGAGAAAAATACTCTGGGGCAAAATATCTTTCAAATCTTACCCTTATCTGTTCGGCAGATTGAAGTTTTCCTCACAGTCAGTATTTATTTATACTTCAGGAAGCACTTATTTACTGAGAGGGTGGCCAAATGCTGGAACAGGCTTTCTGGAGAGGTGGTTGATGCCCCAAGCCTGTCAGTGTTTAAGAGGCATTTAGCCAATGCCCTTAATAACATGCTTTAACTCTTGATCAGCCCTGAACTGGTAAGGCCATTGGACTAAATGATCATTGGAGGTCCCTTCTCACTGAAATAGTTCTGGTTCTGGTTCTGTTTCAGTTTGATTCTAGTCTAGTCCAGTCCAGTCCATTCCTTTTCTACCATTCTATTCTAACTTCTACCACGAAAGTCAGGCTAGTAAGTTTTAGGGTATTATCCTTGGCAAACGTATCTGTGCTGGCAGAAGCACTAGCATTACATATAAAGTAGGAGCGTATTGGCACTACTATTTAAACGTGGAAGTACTACATTAGATGTGATCACAGCAACTGAATCTTCGTGCTGTAGGACATGAACTGTTGTGGCAAATATATTTTCTTTAGAGTTTTTAGTTCCTAGGACTGGTAACCCCATCCTATAGTGAGTACTTTTTAGAAGTTCTCTGTGATGTCTAACGTTCCAAGTATTATAGATGAAAATGTGCATACTCTGTGACATAGCAGGGTTTTACTGAAATGGTAAGTTTCCTTTACAGGTATTGCACTCTGCTGTAGAGTTTCTAGACCTCCGAAACTGTGATATTTCAGATAGTGCATTATTGCAGCTTTATAACTGCAAGCAATTGAAAAGAATCGACTTAACTTCTTGGAAAGAAAACAGATTGGGAATCACTTCAGAAGGTATGTTATCTGTGTACAGATAACTGGGATCTTATTTCCATTTTATTTTTCTTGTTAGATTGCAGTAAATTGCAGAAAATACCTAGGGTGACTATTGCTTAAAAAAATCCCCAGTGTCACACCAATACTAATTAAAAGCCACTTCAGTGGTGTAAATTATAGGCCTGCAGCACTGATTATGTTTTGAGAGGGAGCTATCAGGTTGCTCTCTTGCTAGATTTCTGGTAAAACTATGCTTCGTTTGATCATGTTTTCCACTTCATCTTAATTATTCCTTCCTCAAAACTTGTTCCAGAGCTTTACCAGTAGCACTGGGGTTGAAGTTTCAGGCTTGCAATTTCCTAAATTACTTTTTTCCCATTTTTTAATTAAATGTGCTGGTAATCTATTAATTTGTCATTAATTAAATGTATTTAAATGTATTTTAAATAAGCTTATAACATCTTCTCTCACTTAAAAGACTTGACTTGCTTTAGGACTTTAGGATTTCAGGTTTTAATTTTAACCTCCTGTTTTAAGTTGTATCAGCAGCTGTTAGCTTAAAAGAATTAATCTTGCTGAGTTTTATTTCCCACAAGTTTTGTTTTAGCGTTTGATTACACTTACTCCTTTGCTCCATCATCAACTTATTGTTATTGAAAATTGAGGCAAAATGTTAATTTAGTATTGAGCTAATGTATACCATACTTCAGATCAGTCTTGGTTTATGTTTTCTTACCACTGCATAGTGGTAAGACTACACTTTTTACTTAAGTAATTGGTTAAACTTTCAAAAATAGATTTTATTAATTTTTATTCTCCAGAGGTGATGTAATTTTCTGTAGAGCTGGAACCATCACGTTTCCGTCATCCTTGAAATAAATGCCTTTCATGAATGGTGTCTGTACTTTGTGTACTTTTATTGACACTTCTGTACAAATATTTTGGTTATTTCTAACTGTCGGGGCTCTGAGGGCACCAACAGACCTTATTGGCTATGACCCATTCTACCTGCACCAGCTGTCCATAGACCTTCAGTCCTGACCTGAGCTGTGTTGTAGGTGTACCTGGTTTCTGTCCTGCTTCTGAACTGTTGTTTTCATTTTTTGAATTGACCTCGGACGTCACCTCTTACCTTGCTTTTTGCCTGATACTCACTGCAACGTCAGTGGGACCCTGCGCTATTGTCAGTCAGTTTTCAAGCCGTTGGCTTTTATTCATGCACTTAAGGTGATACCTCATGTATGTAATATCCTGAGGTATCCCTTCTCAGTGTGGAGCATAATGCAGCACTTAGAAACAAACCACAGAATTATTTCCTTGTACAGAATCTTGCTGGCATGGCATGAGATTGAAATTGGACAGTCAGTGACCAGGGACAGCATACTGGATTCAGCATGGTGATTATGTTAAAAAATGAATAATTCTTTCAATTGCTCTGTTTCTTTGACAGGTGTCATAGCGCTGGCCTTATCCTGCCCTTACTTGCGTGAAGTGTCTTTTAAAAGGTGCTCCAATATAACTGACAGCGGAGTCCTTGCTCTTGCGCTCAACTGCCAGTTCCTACAAATAGTGGACTTGGGCAGCTGTTCAGGCATCATGGATGCATCTCTGCAGGCACTAGGAAAAAACTGCAAATTTCTTCACGGTGTGGACTTTTCATCTACTCAGGTAACTATGGTGACAATTGGCAAATTGACGTTTGCTTTATAAGATTGTCATTATAACACTGGAAGAGGATCTTTTTAGCTCTACTGTTGACAGTATTTAGGACCACAGTTCACTTTCCTTTTCCTCCTCTTGAGGAAAAGTAAAGATACATTTTGCATCTTGGTAACCAGAAAAATACACATTTTGGGATTACAGCACGTATTGTGGACCAAAGGTAAACATTTATTAGAATCTACTTAATACTAGAATTTTTTTTTCCACTGTCTTTATTTAATGTAAACATTTTCTTCAAGTTGTAAAGTAATCCAAAATATTTTTTAAAGAAATATTTTTTAAAATAAAGTAGAATCTTGAACAGATGATTGTCTGATTTCAGTTAGTACAAATTGACCTGAATAGTAATAATACAGGATGTCAAACAACATAAGCCCTGAGTAGAAGGAAACACTCCATAATTTGTTCTAGTTCAAGAGTGAATGCTTTCTGAGTGGCTTGTCGGAGTCACGTTATGAAGTCAACACCGAAAGAATGACACTTAAAATGTCTGAAAGGGCAGGTAAGAGGATTTAACAACAGTTAGTATTTAGCAGGAGAAGGGAGAAGTCAGCTGCAACAATACTGTACCATACTTTACAGTTACAGTAAGATAATGAAGTGAGGGAAAGGATTTTTGCAGCAAGGGTAGTGTTCTGTTGACTGTGATGGCGAGTGATTATGTCAAATGAGTCAAGCACAGAGCATTCAGAATGAAGTGTCAGATCTGGAAAACAGTAGGTTCTTATTTTAGATGCTATTCTTACTTCTTTCAGTTTTTCCAGAAGTAGGGCATCGAAAGTAATTTTAATATTTTCTTTGGTAAATTTTATTTTTGTCACTTAACTCTATTTCTTCAAACTTATTTCATTACCTTTTTGTTTCCTTGCCTCTCTCATGTTATAAGAAATAGCTAAGTTTCCATGTATATGTTTTAAATTAGATTAAAGCTTCTTGAGTAACTAAATGTTTCCACCTTTTTTATTCCTTTCTGATAATAATATGGTGATGATACACTAAAATTCTGAATTTCATTTGGCGAAAAATAGACGGAAACATATGCTAGATATAAATGAAATTAGTTTAACATGAAGCAGAGAAACTGTGGATGGCTCATGCCTGCAGAGATTGCAAAGCCTAACCATATTCTTGTGTTTCAGTGCCAGAACGCATAGTAAAAATATCAAGTGGAACTGGCAAAGCTGTGTGAAAGAGTAAAACAGTGAAACATTGGAAGGAAATGAACAGGCAAAGAAACTGCAGAAATGCTTGCAGAAACAAGGAAGCAGATGTGAGCTAGACTACACAGGGATCAGATGCCTCAAGGTGATGTAGGCTTTTTAAAAATAGGCTCATCTGGTGTCTGCATAGATGAAGTACAATAAGTGGAAGGTATAGAAGTGTGAAATAACAAGAAATGGGGCAGGTGAGACAAGGGAAGGATTAAACTAAGAAGCTGTATCTCTGTGTCCCCTGTATGCACACACAGGCTGTGAGTGGAAGCTTGACCTGAAGACCTCTGCTACACTGGCCCAGGTCTGCATAAGAAACCTATTTATGTTTATTTATGAATATGCTTATGTTACCATTCTGAGGAAATAGGTTTTATAAACAAACCCTATACTTACTGTTCTGCTTAATGCCAGCAGTGTTAACAGGTAGAAACACAGACTCAAGAGTCCAAATTCCTGCACTAATTGAACAGTACATTTCCTCTTTAATGTTCATTGACTCAGTGTATGGCAAATAATTGTGGGAAGAATCTTGCCTGAAAGGGCTATGTAAACTGCAGCAGTTTTCTGTGTAGCATGTGGGACAGTTCAGTTCTCTGCAAAACGTGTCGGCAAAAGCAGGAGCATTGCAGGTTGGCGGTTTTGTCTGTCCAGACACTTCCTGTGTAGAACAGAGCTGGGTTGTTGATGCACTTTACTGTTGGTACTGTGCTGTGTCAGCCTTTGCTACGGATACATAGAGAGTTTGGTGACAACTGGTCAGAACTGGTTTCATGCTCTCCCGCTATCATAACCATCCGCTCACAACCATCACGACAGTGGTATTCAAGCAGTCTCTGCAATCTTCAGGCACCAGCCAGGCAGTCTGGTTCAGGTCTGTTTTGATGACATGGAGAATAAGGGGCACAAACTATCAAATGTTCAGCACTTCACTTGGCTTGGCCTTTGGTTAGTGACCATGTTTTGGATGTGCCATTTTATACCCTTTAGAAACTGACAGGTGATGACTGTCTCCATTCTGTCCCACCTATGGGAGTTATTAGACTTTATTAATTTACTGCCCTTTGTCTCCTGGTCTGGGTGTCCTGAGGAGCAAAAGGTGCTGTCATCTTGATGATGTGCATAGTATTGTCAGTACATAGTTTACTATGTACTGACAATACCTGCCATTCTCATAGGCCTTTGTGTGCCTCCCTGCTGGGACGTCTGTTCTCCATTCACTCTCATCTGACCCTTTCTGATATAGTTCTGTACAGCAGACTTGCAATAAATATTGCCAGAAGGCATTAAGACAATTTTGTGCAATTGAAGTAATCAACTGTTTAAACAGAAATGGAGCTTGTAGTCTCTAGATTCCAGCTGTCAAATTTGGCTGAGCCTTACTGTGTATATTTGATGACTGCTATTCTTGCCATCTTATATAAGCTCTACAAAAAAATCTGTGTGATGGATCTGCTGTGAAATTCAGCTCTTGAAGTGGAGAGAAAGTTTAATTCATTTGATTCCCAGAAGCAAACAAATAAATTTGACTTTCTTGCCTTCCTAAAGCAAGGGAAGTCTTTTGTCTCTCTCTCTTGCAGGTAATCATTGCTTCGTGGCTGTCTCTGGCCAATCACGTTGATAAACCTTTGGTGCGAATATATGACAGCTGCTGTAAGACTACTTATTTGAGGGATTTTTGTCTTATGTGACTGGTTTACAGAATCACAGAATCACAGAACG